CGACGTGCGTAAGTTTCCAGCTCGTCATTACACTCTATACTATCTGATTTCACGTTCAAACTAGCTATGGTATATGTAGATAACAAGGTTGCCCTTCGCCAGCTTGAACTGGCAAACGCCGCGTTACTCTCACAGAGCAGTCTGCGTGTTGCTGACGGCGAGAGTCTTGCGAAAGACGGGAAATTCCATCCACGGGTCCTAACCCTTGTCAGTTCATTGTCAGCCGTGCGATTATGGCCTGCGATTAATTGTGTAATGGTTTTCAGGGCGGTGATCATACAATCACTCTCCCCCTACTTCGTGGTGTCGCCGGAGTCTATGGCCCTGTTAGGTATGACGGCGCTGGTTGTCACCAAATCCAGACGATGAACTAAATACCCCGATATGTAGTGTCATACATTTTGACAGTCATCTAGGTAAGTCAGGCTATGCTTTCTCTTCCCGAATTGTCTGAATGTTTTTAGATACTTGGAAACCTAGCAAAATGGTAGAGGGAGCCCTTTGCCAACATTGTATTGAATTGAACATATCTTCACAGGAAAACAGTCCTTGGCTCCCCGGAGAGGTATAAACCTATTCTGTACCCTGACATTTCCATGCTCACTGTCTGCGCAGGAAATTCCTGTGACTCATGGTAGCTATTTCTGGTATGCTCACAACGAAGGTCTACTTGCATCGAACAATTCCAACATCGTGCGTTATCTTTGTTCCGTGGCACAGCCGCAGAAATCCATCGTTTTCATTCTGTAGCACGTCGGGATCCGCAATTCGCTTCATTCTTGGGACGACGAAGAAGATGATTATAAGGTTGGTTTCGTGATATCGTATGCTGAGGATATCGAGGAAGTCGGATGGAAGGGTATCGTCCAACGGATCCGAGATGCGGTTGGTGACAACCCTGTGTACAGTAAGTGCAATATTCGTCGTGGGTTTATGGCGTTCACCTCCTGTATTCCTAGTCTCTCTGGATATCGACGTTATTGATCCTGGAATGGCCCCTGCGTAAGAACTTCCATGAATGTTGTACGCTGTTCGTCTCACATCAGAAGACTTGCGTATCTAATATAGCACAGGAACGTAAGTTGCAGCGCTACTCGTTCGGTGTGCTTCTCGCTGAATGTAAATAGACCGGAGATTGGCGGTTTCACAACTAGGGTGCGCTGATCTGACGACAGAATTTGTATTTGCAGAGTTTATATTGTCATGTAGGAAATCAAGAAAATCCTTCAAGGATTGTCCGGCTTGAAGGTTGTCGGCGCTGATATTGTTGAGGTCGCACCAGGTACTGTTTAAGCACACGATCCGAGTCAGCGTCCGTTTGGATCCACTAATGATTTTCGCCTTACAGGATACGATACTCAAGGTGATCGGATTTCTGCTGTTGAATATATTATGCTAACATTTGCCAGATGAAATCACTCAGATCGCAGCTGCCAACATCGGTTGGGAGATCCTGGGCCTTATGGCAAAGACCCCTCTAGTGGTATGAGCTAGTACTAGTGTTCTTACAATGAAGTATGTTAGCTTTGCAGGCACTGCTCAATACCTCGGAAAGAGCTGTGCGATAGGAGATTATACACTTTGTTTCGTTCAAGGCGTGAAAGGCTGTCGACGGTGGGAATATAAAACACTGGTAGCGCACAGACTTTCCGCGTTTCCTGCTGGGTTCGATCCAACCTCTTTTTGCTTGTTTTCCCCCCAAAACAACCCTTGTAGTCGATTCAACTTTCGACTTTCACCCTCAATATTCAATATTCAATCTTTATACCAGTAGTGGGCTGGAGCGGGACGACAAGATGTATTTTGGGTTTTCGCTTTTAGGACTCGGAATTTTTGGATTGGTAGAGCCTGAGATTGCAAGTGATTTCGTGAGCGCTGAGCCGAAGAGCGGTAGAGAGCGCATTTTGAACCCCGACTGCTTTCATCTTCCGAGGCAAACTACGACAAGGGCATAGTTCCCTCAGCGAGCTTTTGGACAGATAATATTGCGTGTCGCTTTCTGTTGACCTGATGAAGGTTGTTATCATTGGCGGTGGTCCAGCAGGCCTGGTTACCTGCAAGTCTCTACTAGACGCCGCGACGGGGGAATTCCCCTTCGACCCAGTGGTTCTCGAGCAAGAGAGTGATATTGGGGGCACTTTTCGCTACCGTTCATACCAGGTGCGCATTCGAACCATTGTTCCACTAAAGTTTTAGCAAGGACGTACTAAATCCAAGCATAGAACGCGAACTTGGTTTCCTCTAAGCAGCTGACCTCATTCTCAGATTTCCGGTTGCCGCTATTGCACCCGGACCATCTCACGTTAGAGGTATGAACTCCGAACTAAGGAGGCGTATTGTGGTATTGCAACTCACCTCATTGCGCCTAGGAATACGTTGATTATCTTCGCGCATACACCCGCCATTTCAAATTGGAATCTCGGATACAACTGAATAGTAAAGTGATCAAAGTTGAACGGGGCCCGAACGGAGGGCACATAGTGCACTGGCTCCGCAAAGAACCGGGTTCCGGTAATTGGCAAGAAGGTAAGCTTGATGCTGATATCCCCGGCGTAGAGTCGCTCACAGAACACGCTGCCCAAAGCCACTCCTTTGGTGACCCATGCAGCTTATATAGCAGTATGTACGGGTCTACATGTTATTCCTGCCAAACCGGATATACCAGGCATAGGACATGTGTTGAAGCAGCCTGCGAGGCGGGAGGGCGACATACCTATAGAGCCTGCCGCTTATCATTCCGCAGAGTACAAGTCTCGCTCTCAACTGGCCGGAAGGCGCTTGATGATCCTGGGGACTGGTGAGACAGGAATGGATTTAGCATACGAAGCTGCAAAGGCAGGTGCTAGAGAAGTTGTCCTTTGCTCGCGGTCTGGGTGAGTCCCACGCTGGTGTTCCGCTGCAACATACAATGATTCTTTCTAGCTTTCTTTCAGTCCCTAAAGCACTGGTGAGACAACAAGTATCCTTCGGAGATGACTGAGTTTATCATCTCTCCTATAGAACGATTTTCAAATCTTTGGCCTCAAATTCGAGTCCAAGAGCCCTGTGCCAATTGACTCGTTAATTACTAACCTCGCGGAAACAGCATACGTGGTGAGCACAACTTTTCACGAGACCGATTGATCGTTCGTATGCCTAATCTCTTCTGAAGCACCCATGGGTGGCTGCTTCCCACATACGATGGTTGTAAGTGCGATCAATCTTTCCGGCCGTATGCCGTCCTTAATCTCTTTTATAGTATATCTGACTTCGTGGTCAAGCGAGTACTGTGGGTACTGACAGGTTAGTCGATTCTAAAATATAGCTGCATAATGCAATCCGCCATTTTTGACCCTGATTATATGTAGGGACACAGGCGGGCTGCAATCAGTGGGTGTGTCTTCTCGCTCATGTTTCAAATAATCGATATTCACTGCAGATTGTAAAGGTAGGTGAACTGGAGCCTGATCGCTTGGGAAGAGCATACGTGTTCTTGAATAAAGTGAGTTCCATCGGCACTACACAACTTCTATACTACTGAAATCTTCCTGAGTCTCACAAAGCTATGCCATACATCAATCGTCCATATCGCACTCGCCGTGCAGTCATGGGTTATATTTCTCGTTACATCGACCCACCAGAGGATATGCCACCTCAGACATCATTCGCGGTCGACCTTGCCCCCTTCCCATCCCATTTCCTTTCTAGTGGACGTGCGGTTTTCCCTGTATCCAAGAGGAAGGATGCTATCCGCATGATGGGCCGTGACATACGCCCGGATACCGTTATTTTTGCCACAGGCTATCGACAGGAGTTCAACTTTCTAGATCCCGATGCCGGATATCCAACTGCAGCGGACGCAGATATGAGGAATATTGTAAAAACCGGAGATGAATCGATTGCGTTTATAGGTTTTGTAAGGCCTGGAGTTGGTAAGTTCTCTATGTTATGACCTTTGAGATTACTGAGGAAAATACTATAGGGGCGATACCCCCAATCGCGGAGATGCAGGCGTTCTTCTGGATTTCCCTTCTTAAGGGCGAAGTACGCACTCCTCTCCCGGCTCCGCATTATCATCTTCTCTTCAAAGATTCTGCACGGATTAAGTATGGGGTTGATCATTCCACTTACATGAGCACATTGGCGAAAGATATAGGTGCGGCGCCCGGGCTATGGGAGCTGTACCGCCAATATGGCCTACATGTTCTCGTCTGTTACTGGTTTGTTTCATTTGCATTCAACACTGCTCAATGCTTACCCCTATAATCTAGCTTCGGAGCTGCATTCACGACGTTCTACCGTCTTGTAGGGCCATTTCACTCGAACGCAGCTCCTGGTATCATCAAGACCGAACTATGGGATACCATCACTCGCAGAGGAATTCTTGGTAACCTTCTTATGGGAGTGATTCCCATGCTTTTCTATGGCTGGCTCAACTTCTTGGCCTTTGTCCTTGAAAGGGCGTGGATATTGTGCGGCAGCCCCAGCCTACCAGCTGGTGTGATTTCATATTGATAGCTGGCGTTCGAGAACAATTTATATACAATATTCCAAGATGGAAGCTTCTGAGTTTGGTTTGGACTGACGTCGTAGCTATACTGCCAGTGCTAGTTCAAAGGATTCTATTTATTTGTATCCAGGATAGTGTACTTCTGAATGAGCCATGGCCCATAGTGCGAGTTCTGAATCTACGAGAACTTGAACTTGAAGGAACATGACACTACGTTCATCGTGATCATTATTCCAGTTCATGAATCTTAACTTAGACGACTGTTAAGAGAGAAGTTCATACACATCTACTGAGGACTACACAGTCGCAACTAGGACCAGGAGGTTGTCGTGGACATGTCTGCCGAGCTGTCTGGGCGATATATACTGGCAAAGGCATGAAACATGTCTCATGGGCCACAAAACAACTCTGAAAATTCTGAAAATTTGTGCACGTATTCTATACAATACTGACTGTATTTTAAGACCCAAAATATTATCCTAGTTTGCCCACAGGGGGCAGAAAAAAAAGATGATGAGAGTGGGATTCGAACCCACGCCCTTTCGGACCAGATTTTATTGCGTAAGCACCCGATTTGGATAGCAAACCTTAGTCTGGCGCCTTAGACCGCTCGGCCATCTCACCATATGTGTTATTGTCCGTTTATAATACATCACTGTAAGCCACAGACTTACCACCAGGGTCGTTACCCCGGCCTGTCTCTGTCAAGGTAAGACACTGTATGGGTCGAGAAATTGGAACTCAAACGTCAAATGCATGTTGATTTTCCACACTTGGCAGCAATCCTTTACTGACAATTCCATCAAACTTTCGATACCGCGGCCCGCCATGTGAAGATGCATTCAGAGAAGGGGACTACAAAGGACTCGGACCTCCGTAACCTCCCTCTGAAGCTGACGATACATGGGTACCAGAAGGCGGACGCGACATGTCAAAAATTATCCCTCAAATTTCTGACAGCCGCCAGTGGAAGAATGTCGCAGAATTTCCGAGACAGTACAGTAGCACGGGTAGCGCGGTGCCTTCCCCAACATGTCTGTTAGGAAGATATCTGCCTGACCTTGTGCATGTATGTGAGCTAGGTAGAGTATTGCGCCCTCGTGAAATAACAATTAGGTGCTCACTTGGCTCTACAGACTGCCACAAGCAATGTATCACCTTTGTGGGTGCGTATCCAGCTCGTATCCTGACCGACGATATCCTAATTCGTCCATTCACGCATCTGTCAAACATATTGCCATTTTCTCGGATGGGATATTCATAGTCCATCAACCACGTAGCGTGTCAGTGGTATCCTTTGGAGTGTTCGAGGCTAGCTCCTCGCAAATGCAAAGACTCCCGAAGAGCCCAACCCATTTTCCCTCTGTTTTACTGGACTTTTCGCTGGCTGCGCAGATGGACCTATGCACGCTGGAAGTCCCTATCGGAGCGAAAAGGTATATAAGATCACAAAGTTATCGTTTTCAAACCGTCGACAACAGCATAACAAGTCTTCTCCACAATGTCCCCCTCTCCACAATCCACTGCTCCTCCCTCCTTTGAAGCTGCCATATTCAGCTCGGGGAAGCACCCCTCCCCTGCTACTCCCACTGAAGAGATCACCGTCGAAGCAAAGGCAAAGTCCTTTGACGACAGCTCCGAAAAAACCGCAGTCAGCACTACCTCCAGTGCCAAAGCCTCGCCTTCTCCCTCTATCCATGAGGTTGATACGGAGAAGGCCGAGAGGAGCTTGGCGGACGATGACAAGGCCCTTGCCCAATACCTCGTCCCCACTCTTCCAAAGGGCGTGAAGACTGCTCGGAAGAAGCCTGCTAGTCTCTGGATTCGCTTCAGAGTATGGTATAATCCTTACAGAATGGTTCGTAATCATCTGTTTTGAGAATGTCTCATGTCTAATATGCAGCTGTGACAGCTTTTCACATTTGTTTTCACTCTCAACATGGTCGGCATCTTCCTTGCTTGTATTCACCACTTTCCATATGCCGAGCATCACGGTGCTGCTCTCGCTCTGGGTAACATCGTCTCCGCGGTCGCTTGTCGCAACGAATTATTCCTTCGTTATCTGTTTTGGGTGATTGTTAAAGTATTCCAAAAGGTGCTAGGGTTTCATACCATGAGTCTCTTCTCAAGCTAACCATGGTATCTTGGCTGCAGTGGACGCCTCTTTGGGTCAGAATCTTCTGGACCGGATTTTTGCAGCATATTGGCGGTATCC